AACTTTTTGTATTGTTTGTCGCTCGCTTACATTGCGATGCATCTTTTCGTTCAAGCATAGTTATTAATCTTTTCTTAGTATAAAAAGGTAATGGATTCCCATTTTCCCACTGGGAAATTCAATTCAATACAATCAAAACGAATATTTCATGTACCGTTTCTAACTTGAATGTGATCTTAATAATGTCACGTATTCTACGTTTAAATTTAGCGGCTGTGACTGCGACACAGGTCAAGACGAAGGCGCTGGACTGATCCTTTTTAATACATACTTTATGGACTTGAGTATTCACACTTGTAAAAGTTTCATATAAAAACTATTTCACCTCACCAAAAGCCGAATGCAAACTGCCGCTATAGTATGTATTCACTCAATGCTTATCAAATTGTCTAATTTATTTCTCATAGATAAATAGAGTAGTGTACTATAAAATTTATAAGTGTGTATGTATGTATATGAACATACCTGCCCAGTCGGAAAATGGGGAATGCATTACCTTTCTCTACCAAGAAAAGCGTAACGAATACGATTGAACGAAAAGATGCATCACAATGTGAGCGAGCTGAAGATTTGAAGTCGTATTATAACCGAATTGTTGCATTCCTAATGGGGAATTTACATGAGGCGATTTTACTGGTAGCTTTTAGTTGAATGCAGCAGGTGAAAACAAAATTGGATTTATATTGTTCGATGATATTTAATAATAAATGTTCACTGGACGCCTCTATCTAATTTCTCGGTGATTCCGAAAATCGAGTTAATTTTTTTCCATGGAGACGTTTTCGAGATATTTGCAATTTACCGTTACAATATATACATCACTATCCGATAGGACTGATAGTTTCTGACAAATTAATTAATCATTTCAGTAATTTTTTTATGAAAAAATTAAATAAAATCAAACTTTAACAGAAGAAAAATTTAAAAAATAACAGTACACTTGATTTTCTTGAAGGAAAAGTTATATCTCAGAGGTGGTCCCATATTAATTTGGTTAAGATACGATTATTGGATCATGAAGAAATTAACGGGTTTCTTAAATTTTTATATGAGATTTGAAGTCGGTTTTGTTTTTTGCTTAAAAATTTCTTTTTGGAGTCAAATATTTTCGTTTTTGTTATTTTTGTTATTTTATGGCCTTATAACAATTATATACAACAATTTTTATTGAGCTCGAGGCCGTTTTTTCTATTTTTTCTACACATTATGTATACATACTATAACCGGTCATATTTAATTTTCAGATCTCAAGGGATTCTAATTAATCATAAGAATTTAAGTTTTATTACGAAATTTAGACTCAATTGTAATGGTTAAAAATGGTGGAAAAATAAAAAGAGAGTGAGAAATTAACTTGCGGGTTTTCTGAAACTTTCTGAAGTATATCAGTGTTGCCACACATGGGTTTTTGCTACCAAAACTGGTAGGTTTATTTCCATTTGGTAGGTTGGTAGGCTAGATTGGATTTTTGTAGGTTCCGCGACCAAAATATTTATTTGCGAAAAATAGAAAATATGTATTTCCAAACATTTTAGCAACCTTGTATGTATATGTACTGAAGACAGGTGCGTTTAAAAGGGCTTGCCAATAAGCCCACTGAGTCCACCATTGTCCCATTTACCAAAAGAAGGAAGAGAACTTGACTGGCATCTAGGCATAACTCTGGACAAAAAGGCTCAGTTGGAACTCACATCTGTGGAATGTTACCAACAAGGATACAAGTTACCTTTATACGTGTCTCAGAGACTTCATGGTAAGACTTGGGGAATATCACCCTATCCATCGTACTGGTATTTAAATACGGTAGTAAAACTAGTCGTTACATATGCGGCACTGGCCTGGTGGCCAAAAGTTAAGCAAGGAAACGCGGGTGCCACCTTGAGTAAGCTGCACCAACTGGTCCGCGTGGCTATCACAGAATCTATGCTCACCTCTCCTACCATGTCCTACGGATGCCGTTGGTGTCATTATAGACATCCCCCTTTGTCTATTCTAATTGAAAAAGAGGCCTGGTGGAGCGCCCTACGGCTGCCTAATACGATCAGCATGTAAAGTGGAGGTCTTCTGAGTAATTTGGAGGTTCTCAAAGTATTTCTGGGTGATCCCGAGTTGTCCTTCTACTAACCTTACAAGGGCAGATTTCTTGAAAGGGGCTGCTTGTGTAGCGAGAAACACAACGTTTATTGTAGCTTTGTCGGTGCTGAATCCAAACCTGGTCGTAGAACTGCTCTAGCATGTTAGGATTTTGAGATATCCTTACCTCAAAGTGTCAAAAACAAGGCTTTTGGCGATATTTGAGGTTATATGATATGAACAATATGTACCCAGTTAATTTGTTTTTATTGTGCTAGCTGTGTTTTAGTTTTACTAAATGGTATCTTATTTACATTTTTAATAAACTTGACATTGAAAAATAATTAAAGGCTAAAAAAAATTTTGGTAGGTTTTGGTTGGTTTTGGTAGGAAAAAAAATTTTACCGTGGCAAGACTGGAGTACAGTGCACGTCCGATAACGTGAACTAATTAAAACCAAGGGAGTTCACATTAACAAAAGTGTACCACGTTTTCGAAAGCGCATATATTTACTCATTTAAATTGACATTTTATTATTGTTTTGTTTACATATTAATTTGAGTTTAAGAGATATGATATGAAACGTAAGCTTGAGAAAACTTTTTATTTAAAAAACTCAGTCATCTTTTTTTGCGTCTTCTGAAGCACAGCTTTCTCCCTTGAACGTCTCAGTACATTCATATCGTTTTGATCGACGCCTTCATGGCTAGCCTACTGTACAGCTTTGTTGAAAATTTTTACTGCTTTACTTGGTTTAATTTGCTCCGGTGCCTCTAAGACGCAGCCATCATCGGATTCGTCCTCTTGTTCAATATCGTCATCCGCATTATCTACCTCAATATCTTCGTTCCATTCATGAACGGTTGATAAAGTACATTCACTCTGAAATTTTTAATAAGAACAAAATTTTCAATAACTCACTTATCTTTGTGCATATCTGCGCACACGAACAAACCTCAGCATTTAAATTGAGAAGAAGATCGACGGTGCTGAACATCAAGGAGCGAAGTTCAGCTCCCCATTTTGCTTTTAAAACCGCCAACAGCATAATATCTTCAGTATCATCATCGTTTGTGGTAAAATTTAAAATATTGTTCCAGCACCTAGCTAGGGTTTCTTCGCGCCGACACGACCCCAAGCGGCATCCAAAAGATTTATAGCTTTTTTTAATGTTATTTTCTTCATCGACTCGAGCAAATCAGATTGCGTCGCTGCCATTGAAGCTAAAAGGCGTTTTCTGTAGTGCAGCTTCGTGATTTTTCGCTTTTCCGATTACAAAAATTTTAAGTTTATGAGATCCAGTGGCGTTTGAGCAACACAAGAACGTGATTTGCTGCTTCTCGACTTTACGCTTGGCTCTCTTTTCCAATCTGGACACGTACGGTTTTTCTGGAAGAAGTTTTCAGAATAAGCGGGACTCAGCAGCATTATATAGCTGATCATTGCACAACTCCATTTCGGCCATTTCAGCTTTAAGTTTTTCTTTAAACGGATCCACTAGCTAAGGCTGCGAAGACAGTTTTTCGCCTGATATTTGAAGAAGTCGAATGCCGTATCATTTTTTGAGTCCTTGAAGCTATCCATCACTAGCGTAGAAATCACATTCGCCTTCCTTAAATTTTGAATGGAGTTTTTTGGCTTTTTCTTTCAGCATTAAAGCACTCACTGGCCAGTTCTTATTTCGCATACGAATAAACCAACGATAAAGAGCTTTCTCCATTTTGGGCAGTTCTGAAGTACGCAGTGTTTTTCATTTTCCATTAATGCCACAAATTGTTGACTTAGCAACATTATATTTCTTCGCTAAGAACGTCACACTCGGCCCTTTTTGTAAAAAACCGAGAATTTCAGCTTTTTCTTTTAATGTCAAGCACACGGGCTTCTTAGAATTAATTTTTAAGCAGCAAATCTAAGGTGGAACACTCCATTCAAAGCCAAAATTGTGACTGAAATGTTTTATGCGTTACATGCAACCACAAATAAAACGCATAACTTTCTATTAGGGGATTCCCCAAGTTCAGCAGTTTGAGCTCAATGGGAACTATATTCAAACATTGAAACGTTTATTGTTCATGTTATAGAGCTTTCTCGCCTTGTTCACGTTTTAGAATAGTCAGTGCACAAAAAAAGGTTGTTCACGTTTTCGAGTGTGCGCTGTATATGTACATACATATGTATGTGCATTTATATGTTTATATATACATACATACATATGCAAATGTAGATATACATACATCTTTGTTAGCAAATGCCGTCAGGTACGTGGTGTGCGGGATATCAAGGCAAATGTAAATAATAACGCTACAGTAATGGTGATCGTTGCCGGTTGATTAAGTGAATATACATATATATGTATATGTACACATGTTTGTGTGTTTGTGTGTAAGATATGTAAAACGCAAACCGCCTTCGCACACGCGGCGCACTTACTTGCTCTGCTCTGCAATTTAGTATGCCGGAATAGTTTCTTGGGAACAGCTCGCAATAATCGGACAGCAGAGAGCAAGTACGCAGGAATATTTTTATTTAGCAAGAAAAAAGCGTTGGCAAAATTAATAAAAAAAAAAAAGTTATTTTGTGCTAATTTATCTTTACATACATATCGTCGAGGTTTTTGCAAAACCGCCCATCTTCGTTACTCAAATTTTACAGGAGAGCGAAGAAACGGTTTATTCTTTGAAGGCATTGCCATGACAGGCGGTACTTTCTCTAGCTATTATTTTACAAATCTGTTGTTTTCATAAGGATTTAACGATTTTTATGCATAAATCTCGATGCCTGGAGTTCAGAGTTACCAAATCTCATTTTAGCTACAACGGCAATTTAGGCAGGCGGATTTGCAACTGGTCGATGGGCGGTTTTGCAAAAACATCGACGATATGTATGCGCGTTTACTCGTAAATTTAATATTTCCCTCATACATATACCTTTCTTCCGAACATTAAGCGGTTTCAGTAGCCGACGGCAAAGTGATGATTTAAAAAAATACTAAGCGCGAACAGGGAACTGCTGCGTTAAATGACACAAAATCGTTTTGTTCTTTTGGATTGTGATGGCGGCAGCGACGATGCGTGGGCCTTACTGGTGTTGCTCAAAGCAGCCACCGAACAGCGACTGACACTACTGGGAGTGACAATTTGTGGCTGTGGAAATACCGATCTACACAATGCAGCTCAGAATATGTATCGGATTTTGAAAGCTTCCAACCGTACCGAGGTATATATATTTTAATTTGATAACAATGATAAATAAAACTCCAATGTCAAACATGTTAAAATGCAGTTTCAAAACTTCATTTCTCCCACCCCCTCCCCCCCGCTCAGATTCCCATTTATCTTGGTGCTGCCGAGTCACTCATACCACTCAACGAACCGCTCGATGATGACAAATATTTTCATGGCCGCGATGGATTCGGCGACATATTGCCCCTAGAAGAAGATTATAAAATTGAACAGGTGGTGCAAAAAGAACACGCTGTGGTGGCCATAAATAAATTTTGTACGCAGGTAGGTACATACGTGAGTGAGCTGTTAAAAATTATCGAATTCCACTTCCCTTTCGCCACTTGCAGCATTCGAAAAAGGTAACAATCATAAGTGTTGGGCCGTTAACTAACATCGCGCTTTGCTACTCCATGTTTGGTGCGCAATTTGCAAATGCAGTAAAGGATATTTATATAATGGGCGGTAATCATCAAGGTAAATAACTTACTTAAACATACTTATGTACTACATATATATACATACATATCATGAAATCTAAAATTTTTCATGAAAAGTCAAGTATGTTTTCAAATTTTAAACCTTACTAATTTTCTCGACTCCAACTTAAAATTTATCTGCGCATTAAATTGTCTATTATAGCCCAATTATGCGTACTTGCACTGCTATACCATTTTTACATAAAACAAGTAATTTTTAGCAAAAAAAAAACGACTTAAAAAAAATATATATATATCTATATATTTCATGATCCAATGATCGGATCTAACCCAAATTAGTATGGGCCCACCTCTGTTGACGTGGCGCAAAGTTATGCGGTAAAAAAAATATTCCGACGAACTGATAACCTCCTCCTTTTTTGGAAGTCGGTTAAAAACAAAACCCAACAGAATTCTACATGTTAAGTGCTATGCGTTGGGCAACCGCTTACACGCAAAGCTCGTTTAACACATTCTTATGTGACAACTCTCATGCACAGCTAAGTATGCGTAACTGGGCTATGAGGTAAGGCTGACTAGTCACTGTTGGCTAGCCACAGATCATTAAGGCTCAAAACATTACCAAACGTTACGTCTACGACTAAATTATACAACAATGTTGAAAAATATATCAGTCCTTCTGGTGAACAGGACTCTCTTTTGTAATTCATTATCTCGTTATTCCTACCGCATTCTCAAGTCTATCGGCATACGCCCCTTGCAGCCATGCCTCTCTGCCACTCTGGCTGCTTTTGAGTATTGAAGTATTGCTAAGCTCAAATTTCCCGCAAAATGCATAACGGATCGCTTTTGGACTCATCGTGTAAAGATGCATCGAGTCTGTCATACTTATAGTCTTTCGCAAACTTTTGTTTAAAAGTACAGGCATAGGCTTTTTGAAAACTCTTTGTTTAGAGTGTTCAGTTTCTCAGGTTCCAAACTAAATTATGATATAAATCAGAATGAATAAGGTTTGGTTAAGAGCATTTAAATTCCATATTAAAATATACTGGTGAAAATTTTATTTTTTAGTAAAATGACCCTAAATAATTGCATAAAAAAATCTTGTCATCAGGCGTTGGAAATTGCACACGTTGCGCTGAATTCAATTTCTATTCAGATCCCGAAGCAGCTCATTCAGTGCTTGCCAGATCTGTATGTCCCATCACAATATTGCCCTGGGAGCCGTGCTTGGAGGATCGTTTCTTTATATGCATTGTATGTGTAAAATAGATTGGCTGTTTTAAATAAAAAATACTGTATTGCAGATCTACATGTATTACTTTCCAGAACTGGCGTCTCGACGAATTTGGTAGAACCGCTGAGAAAACGTCTTCCGCCATCGAGTTATTGAATAAAGTGGAGCGGGCGCAATGGCTGTCATCAAGATTCAAGAGTTGGATACCATGTGATGCTCTAGTTGTAGCCGCATTCCTCTTTGAAACCGCAATTGTCAAAAAGACAAGCAAATGGCATGCAACTGTAGATTTGACGGGACATACCCGTGGGCAAATGATTTTAGATCATTTACAAGAAGTGGATAAGTATCCAAAGAATGTAGAAATCATTGAATGGTTGGATGCGGTCGTTTTCAAGAAAATTGCATTATGGGCTGTGGGATTGCAGGACGAGCTTATCATCAACCATACAAATGGAAATGTGGAAAAATAATGTTAGTTTTAATATGATGATAAGATATTTGATTTTGCATTTGTTGTACCTTTTCATGAAAATTATTAATGAGAATACATATACATATGTATAAATTCTAATAACTATGTATTTCTTACTTATGTATTTCTCCGCAGGCAAAAGTTTTTATCTTGAAAATGTTATCAGACAATATTTTGCTGATGGAGACCGCCTATTGCTCTTGGCAAGCAATAACACTGGTTTACAGCAAAAATGTTCTCCAGACGCCACTATCCAATTCCCTTGTAGAATTGCTCGGTGATTCCGAAAATCGAGTTATTTTTTTCTATGGATACATTTTCGAGATATCTACAATTTGCCGTTATTCAGCTTAAAGCAAAAGTTGGTTCATTTAAATAACGTATAACTTACGAACCAATTTAAAAATCTTAGTATAAAAAAAGCAAATGAAAGCCAATGAAATTATCCATAAACCGTACATACATCACTTTCCGATAGAGCTTATAGTTTCTGACAAATCAATTAATCATTCCAGTTTTTTTTTATTTTTTAATGAAAAAAAGAAAAAAAAATCAAACTTTAATATAAGAAAAATTGAAATACTAACGGGTTCTGTGCCAAAATTTTGCATTTGTACTAAAGCCTGTTATTTTACAAAAAAAAAATCAAGTTACTGATGAAGAAAATCGATGGATAAATACGAAATAATGAGTGGAAAAGCGTATTACTCAGATATACGCGGCGTATGAGTAACATTCTTTCGTGCTCAATTTTCATACAAATATTCTTGCGCAGTTTTATTTGACCACTCATTATTTCATATTTATCGATCGATTTTCTTCATCAGTAACTTGATTTTTTTTATTTTGTAACACAACAGGCTTTAGTACAAATGCAAAAATTTAGCACAGAACTTGTTGTTTTTTCAATGTTTCTTCTGTTAAAGTTTGATTTCTTTTTTTCATTTTTGCATTAAAAAATAAAAAAAGCTGGAATGATTAATTAATTTGTCAGAAACTATAAGCCCTATCGGAAAGTCATGTATATACAGTTTATGGAGAATTTCATTTTAAATTGATTCGTAAGATATACGTGTTTTAAATGAACCAATTTTTGCTTTAAGCTGAATAACGGTAAATTGCAAGTGCCTCGAAAACGTATCCATAGAAAACAAAAATGAACTCGATTTTCAGAATCACCGCGCGATTCTACATAGACTATATAGAAATTGGATAGTGGCGTTTGGAGAACAAAAACCAAATTAAAATTTGTGATCCAGTGTAATTATCGGAGCTTTTAAGCTGATAAGTATTGCCAGCAATATAGTAGTTTGACAGTTCCATATTTTCAAATGCGCGAAAACGTCGGTGGCGGCAGCATTATTGATATTGCAATATAAAACCAAAAATTTAGCTGTTTTCTATTTAAATATTTGTTGAAGCCATGTAGAGATTCTTCATACAGTTCAATGCGAGCGTGAGCGTGAACTTTTTATTTTGACCAATAATTTCGTTATTACTCACTTTTTGCAATAGTTAGTACATCAAAGGATATAGAATTAAAATAGCTATCAGAATTATAGAATAAACAGTAATTTAAGATGCAAAATATGTATGCTGTTGAATACGTAAACTTGTCGCTCACAAGCGAACGCTTTGCGTAGCACACAATTGAGTGTGAGCTTGTAAAATATGCATATTACACATATTTTAATTTACTTTTAAGCCAATAATTCTGAAAGATATTTAACTTTATATCTTTTGATGTATTAACTATTGCATAAAGTGACTTAATAACCAAAATATTGATCAAAATAAAAAGTTCACGCTCACGCTCGCATACATATTTACATATGTATCGGGCAATACAAATGACAGTTGGTAGGCAAAACGTTTGCTTGTGTAGACTGTTAAATAAACCAGGGTCCAGAAATATTAACTACTCTGGCCAACAGTCATTTTGGTGCATAGAAGCTGCAATTCTTTTTTAACTTAGGGCCTTATACTCATTACATAAATATAAAAGAAGTAAAGAAGTATAAGTTCGGATGAAACCGAACTTTATATACCCGGCGCTGGTATCAAATATCGTCGTTTCAACTTTCTCTAAACTACCTTTACATGATAAGCAGGGGTGTTTTCCCCGATTTCATACGATTTCGATAATAGGCAGAGTTAGACTTAATAAAGTCACTGAACCAAGTTTAATAGAAATCGATAAAGCAGCTACCGAGGAACACCTTTATAATCATAAAGTGGTCGGTGCCACGCCCAATTCCCAAAAGTCTATAACAGTCATATTTATTGATAAGAGGTGGTTGAGAGTATTAACTTGGAGTAAATTAACATCCTCAGTTATTAAAATATCGGAGTTTTCGTATTTCTGAAATTTACCGTTATACGGAAAGCGGGTGTAATTTTAGTCCGATTTTATTAATTTTCCACGATTCACCTTTCCGTACCAATGTTATTGAGTGCACCGAGTTTAGTAGAAATTGATTAATCGGTTACCGAGATACACATTTGTGGTCGTAAGGGGGCGGCGCCACGCCCATTATCCAAAAATGTATAATAATCTAATTTTCTGCTAAGTGATTATTGCACTCAACGA